TCTAATGAGAGTTAGATGACATTTAGGTGAAAAGTTACTTATAGTTAGTAGAATGTCTAAAGTGGACTATCGAACTAACGTGTAACCAAAATGGGTACTTAGATAATGTACTGAAATTTCTGAAATTACTAAAACTAAAAAAAAATAATCTATAAAGAAATATCAAAACAAATTAATAAGAGTGCCAAAAGCACATAACAAAATTACTCAAACTAAATCATTAATTAAAAAAAAAAAAAAAAAAAAATATAATATATATATATATATATATATATAAAACTGACCATATAAATAATTTCAAAATATTAATTAATAATATAATTAATAATGATTATTTTGAGTTGACTCATTTGACAGTTCGCCAAATTGATATTAACAATTTGTTCAAAAACAGGACTAATTGTATGATCCTTTTAAGAAGGTTTGCATAGATTCTTCATCCTAAAAGATAACAACATATGGGCAAGATGATTACATCTTTTTTTTTTGGATGAACTATTCTTTAAAAGTGAGAGAAACATTGTAACCACATCTGGGGTCTGTTCTCTCAAGCCAAAGAGCTTCAGAGACACTATAAGAAATGGTTTGGATTCTCACATTTTCTCATCGCTGTGTCAAGTCATTACTGGGCACCACGTCATTAGCTGATGGTAAACCCATTTATTACAGCTAAAGAGTGATGGGCAAGGTGGAGGAGAGACAGATCAGGCTTTAGGACGGCCATGGTCGCAAGGCTTTTTCCTTCCGCCTGTAGAGCTCAACACACCCATTTCTATATCAATTTTTTGCTGAGCATTTAGGTGACAAAATATGCAATAGATTTGAGGCACACATTGAAACAGCAGAGAAAAGCTATTTTATATAATCATCTGGAGAATTGAAAGCAAATTAAAATGTTTCTGTGGGAGCTTTTTTTTAAGATATGATGGAGGTACATTTGGATGTGCTGAGAATAGTTGCCATCCTGTCAGCTAATTTAAGATCTGTTGATTTTACCCTAACAGCAGGCTGAGGCTGGTCCAATACCCTGGTGTTCCTCTCAAGTAAATGCTGAGCAAAAAAAAGCTTAGTGGGCTTTTTCCCTCAAGGCGTAGGAGTTTTAGTCATGAGTTAAGGTAATCCAAGCAGATGCTGTTCACTTGCCCTTGTTTGCAGACTCCTATGCCAATTAGCGGACAAAGCAGACTATGTGTGGCATATTTTCAACATGAGATTAATTCATATTTCACAGTGTGCAAAGCAAAGGAAAAGGCTGATCTTAAAATTATGGCAGCCATCAGAAAGCATGCAGGCAAACCAACAGACGCATGCTAGCTTCATGTACGGGATTGTCACAGCTCATTGTCCTTGAAAATTAATCGGAATGAAATGACAAGCCTGGGGACTGCAATCCGCGGTGCACTGCAAAAAGGCTCCTGAGCAGAATATTTATGTAAGCCTGGCTAAGTGGCAACAGATGATATCTGTATTCCAACTGGATGGCGGGACTTGAAATGTATGTGATAAACAAACCTGGGCAGACAGCATTATGAAATGTAAATTTAGCGGTTCGGGTTCAGAATTAGGCCAATGAGGGTGTGCGAGGGTGGGGCGGGGACGTGAGGGGGAGGAGAGGGGAGTCTCCTTGCCCTGGACTATATCTAAGCTTACGTGTACTACCAGCTAACTGCTATGACATATGGTGCGTGATGCCATTACCATGCTCGTTGGTAAAGCTCATTTTTCAACAACCCAACAGCCTGCCATTTTGAACTCACTCTGATGGTCCGATTGGAGCCTGGCATAAAAACACATTCATCTCGGTCAGAGACCGTATCAATAATGGTCTAGGATAGCTCATCGGCTAGTGAGAGTACCTGGTCATTGAAACTCACATAGTGACATGCTGTTCTTTAGCAAGTCTCAAAAAAGAATGAATCATACAAATCTAGATTTAAGAAAGCTGAATGCCTATCCTGTCAATGCAGTCCTGCAGTGAGCATCTGGATATATGGGGTGGGCAACTCAAGTCAATGAGAAAAAAAAAAGATTTATAAATATATATTTATAATTGTTTTTTCTTATATATATATACACTCACCGGCCACTTTATTAGGTACCCCATGCTAGTAACGGGTTGGACCCCCTTTTGCCTTCAGAACTGCCTCAATTCTTCGTGGCATAGATTCAACAAGGTGCTGGAAGCATTCCTCACGGAGTTTGGTCCATATTGACATGATGGCATCACACAGTTGCCACAGATTTGTCGGCTGCACATCCATGATGCGAATCTCCCGTTCCACCACATCCCAAAGATGCTCTATTGGGTTGAGATCTGGTGACTGTGGAGGCCATTTTAGTACAGTGAACTCATTGTCATGTTCAAGAAACCAATTTGAAATGATTAGAGCTTTGTGACATGGTGGAAGTAGCCATCAGAGGATGGGTACATGGTGGCCATAAAGGGATGGACATGGTCAGAAACAATGCTCAGGTAGGCCGTGGCATTTAAACGATGCCCAATTGGCACTAAGGGGCCTAAAGTGTGCCAGGAAAACATCCCCCACACCATTACACCACCACCACCAGCCTGCACAGTGGTAACAAGGCATGATGGTTCCATGTTCTCATTCTGTTTACGCCAAATTCTGACTCTAACATCTGAATGTCTCAACAGAAATCGAGACTCATCAGACCAGGCAACATTTTTCCAGTCTTCAACTGTTCAATTTTGGTGAGCTCTTGCAAATTGTAGCCTCTTTTTCCTATTTGTAGTGGAGATGAGTGGTACCCGGTGGAGTCTTCTGCTGTTGTAGCCCATCCGCCTCAAGGTTGTGCGTGTTGTGGCTTCACAAATGCTTTGCTGCATACCTCGGTTGTAACGAGTGCTTATTTCAGTCACTGTTGCCCTTCTATCAGCTCGAACCAGTCTGGCCATTCTCCTCTGACCTCTGGCATCAACAAGGCATTTCCGCCCACAGAACTGCCGCTCACTGGATGTTTTTTCTTTTTCGGACCATTCTCTGTAAACCCTAGAGATGGTTGTGCGTGAAAATCCCAGTAGATTAGCAGTTTCTGAAATACTCAGACCAGCCCTTCTGGCACCAACAATCATGCCACGTTCAAAGTCACTCAAATCAACTTTCTTCCCCATACTGATGCTCGGTTTGAACTGCAGGAGATTGTCTTGACCATGTCTACATGCCTAAATGCACTGAGTTGCCGCCATGTGATTGGCTGCTTAGAAATTAAGTGTTAACGAGCAGTTGGACAGGTGTACCTAATAAAGTGGCCGGTGAGTGTATATATATATATATATATAAGAAAGAAAGAAAGAACAGATGCAACTTTATTTTTTTTTATTGAGCAGGCAAGTCCACCTTTTTTTGGTGAGTGCTGGCCACCAGTAGCCACTGTGCCTAATAACAGATAATAAATAAATAAATAAATAAAAACATAAAATTATCCTCTTGTTTACGCAAGAGCTTCAACACACGGGAATTGACACACTGTTTAAGTCATTAGAAGGATATTAATCTGCAATAATAAGCTAACGGCATACTAACAACAGTAGACATTAGCAGATAGATGGCGTGTTCCAATTCATTCAAGGAGAGGGGGAGAGGATTTGTAATGTTTCAGATGTGTGCTTCATTTAAACTATAGTTTAAGCCCAGCCTCTCTTAAATATCAAATTGTCTCAGGCACAGAGAAAAGAGAGGGAGAAAGAAAGAAAGAGAGAAGGAAAGAAAAAGAGAGAGAGAGAGAGAGAGAGAGAGAGAGAGAGAGAGAGAGAGAGAGAGAGAGGAGAGAGAGAGACGGAGCGAGAGAGAGAGAGAGAGAGAGAGAGAGAGAGAGGAGAGAGAGAGAGAGAGAGAGAGAGAGAGAGAGAGAGAGAGAGAGAGAGAGAGAGAGAGAGAGCGCACGCCTGGGCTGAATTGTGAGTGGCTTACGACACTCAGTGAACAGAAGGTGTTTCTGCATGCACTGCCAGTGCACTAGTCTGCTGCAAGGGACCGAGCATCTCTCGCCTCCCCGTACACAGTGCCTGCCTTCAGCCTCAGCATCTACAGCCTCCGCAGCCCACTGGAAATGAGCGCCACACAAAGAAGACCTTGCTGAAGATTTGAGTCTTACTACAAATACCATCATTGATCTTTGGATATCACTAAACAAACAATTAAAAAGGAAAGGAAAGGAAAAAAGAGAGCTATATGATGCAGATCACACAGCTTTTGCATGTGTATAATTGTGAAGAAATGACCACTGAAAGAATGCCAACGAGCGTCACTCAATGTACATTGTGCAGGTCAGTGATCACTTTAGGTTATGGATGGTGATTTGCGACAACAGATCGGGAGTCTTTGATGAGAAGGAAGGAAGGAGAGAGAGAGTGAGAGTTTGGAGTGGATTATTCCCTCCTTCGTGCGCATTTTCCCCCCCGCTCATCTCTCCCACAGATCGGCGCAGCAGTCGATGCAGAGCAACGACGGAGAGAGGACAGCGCTCATGCATGCAGTCCGGGAAACTTGCACTTCCTCCCAGCCTGCTGAATGCCACTTGGATTCGTTCTCTTTTTGGCTCTTTCACACGAGGAGAACTAAGACATTGTAAGTCTGCCAGGATCTGGTGTCCGAAGAAAAGGAGGGGGGGCTGAATTTGTACCACACTGGGGTCTTTTTTAGTTTCGCACATAATTAGTGTCGGCACAAAGGGATCAACTGAATAGAGGTTGTCAGCCTCTGGAAAGGGGTGAGTAGGCATCCTTTCATGTGAGATTGATGCTCGAGGAGTGCATTTTTTTTTTACCTCCCTGTCTCTCTTTTCCTTTCTCTGATCTAACATGAGCAAAGTGACTTGTCGTTTATTTGCCGTCGCTCTTCTCGTTTCAATGTGGCAGGATTTCTTGAATCTTTAAGTGACAAATCACCATCCATATTCTCTATAAATATATACACACATATATATATATATATATATATATATATATATATATAAATATATATATCAACAGAAAAGGGAGTTACAAATCACAATGACCAAGATCTGAAAGATTCAATGGACTTTTTCTCTACGACACTGCAGGATATTCATGCTAATGGATTTCCTTCTAATTGGTCTGTACCTAAAGTGGCCCCTAAGGAAGCCACCTGGGCTGATTCTGTGCTCCCTGGGCATTGTTCTGAAAATAGTTCCGTTGGTGGGGGGGAGCTGTCCGAGGCCATGCCGATGCGACAACAAGCTGTTGTATTGTGAGGGGCTCAACCTGACTGACATCCCTCAAAATCTGAGCAGTGCCATTGGTTTGTCCCTGCGCGAGAATAACATCTCTGAGCTGCGGGAGGGGAACTTTGTGGGCCTGTCACAGCTTACCTGGCTCTACTTGGATCATAACAATATTGAGATCGTGGAGGAGAGCGCCTTTGAAAGGCTGCGAAGGGTTAAAGATTGGATCTGAGCACCAATCGGATAGAGAGCCTGCCCAACGGGACCTTTAGACCTCTGCCCAACCTGCGAATATTGGATTTATCCTATAACAAACTTCAGTCCTTAGAGCCAGACCTTTTCCATGGCCTTAGGAAGCTTACCAATTTACATTTGCGCTACAATGCCCTTAAATTCATCCCTGTGCGGATTTTCCAGGATTGCAGAAGCATGCAATTCCTGGATCTGGGTTACAACCAGCTGCAGAGCCTGGCACGTAATTCATTTGCCGGACTCTTCAAGCTCACTGAACTGCATCTGGAGCACAATGAATTGGTGAAAGTCAATCTGGCCCATTTCCCCGCCTCATATCCCTGCGGACCCTCTACATGCGAAACAATAAGGCCACCATTGTGGTCAGCACCCTTGACTGGACCTGGGACCACTTGGAGAAGATTGACTTTTCCAATAATGAGATTGAGAACATTGAACCACATGTGTTTGAAAGTGTGCCCAACCTTAACATTCTTATGCTGGACTCTAATAAACTGACTTACATAAATCAGCGGATTTTGGACTCTTGGAATTCCCTCGAGCAGC